CATTTTCTGCGTCTCTGTCTCTTTGAAAGGTGGAGTTAACACGTTGCCAATATGGGTGGCGAATGAAAGGTGGATCGTTACTGGAAAGTCACCGAGAACAGGCTTTAAGATAAAGACAGAATCGAGGTATGATATCCCTGTACGTTCTGCTGAGTCAATTCATATAAATAATATCTGTCTCCTCCCTGCTAACCTTTACATACATATGTGGTAAGTTTGCGAACATGGCCTGTGATTCATCAAGCCATCAAAAGCTAGCAATCCAGTTGAGGAGCAGCAGAAAAAAGGTTGCTCACATCGTCCTTTCAGTAATACCCGCTTTAGAAAACATTTACATGAAAGCAGGAATACGGTAACATTTGAATTTTTCGTATTCGATATACTAGAAAGAATGAAGCAGATACAAAGAAACAGAAACTGCGCCATTTTCTGCGTCTCTGTCTCTTTGAAAGGTGGAGTTAACACGTTGCCAAATCTGGGTGACGAATAAAAGATGAATCGTTACTGGAAAGTCACCGAGAACAGGCTTTAAGATGAAGACAGAATCAGGGTATGACATCCCTGTACGTTCTGCTGAGTCAATTCATATAAATAATATCTGTCTCCTCCCTGCTAACCTTTACATACATATGTGGTGAGTTTGCGAACATGGTTTGTGATTCATCAAGTCATCAAAAGCTAGCAATCCAGTTGAGGAGCAGCAGAAAAAAGGTTGCTCAGAGTCGTTGTGGACTAAAAAAGCCTCAGTGTCCACTTGGTTATGGTTAATCCGGCCACGTGAGGCGATTTTGTAATGGTTGTGGGACAAAAGCAGCTACCAAGGTGGTAGTGGCTTTAATGTGAAACGGAATAGTGGTCACCACCACCCTATGGACAGAACTGTTCATGAGAGTTCCTTAACGAAGAATAAATACCCCCGGTGATGGTATATCGATGAATCCTTGAGAACTACCTAAATGTTAGTCCCAGTTCAGTATACTATATAGCTAAGCTATCCCAGGCCTAATACTTGATTTAAGGCTTACTTGAGAAATGATGAAGGCACTAGGAAAAGCAGGAGGTCCCGTTAGGGTTAGCGATGCAGAGCACAATGCCCAGAAGCATTAGTACGGGTTCAAGTCTCGTCTAGGGCCAAAGTTTTGCCCATAGCTCGTCAATCTTGAGAAACTATAAGTAGCATCGCTTCTCCGAACAGTAGGGATTCCCATTTGTCACCCGACCGTGCGAGTTCCGACGTTTTTGAGAAGCGGCTTAAAAGGGTTCTTCTTTTGAGGACTTCGAACCAGTCTCCACTGTTCGCTCACCCTATCACGATATGAATCACAACCCTTTATTGTGGTGATTTCTTTTAAATTCGGCCCAGATCATAGGCAGTCAACACAGTAAATATGGCCGACCATTTACTGTAACCCGTTCTGACAACATCAAGAACTTTGAATACGACCGTATCAGTTAAATGATTATGTGCGAGATTCTATTCGTTGCTGTAGTTCACTTCAGATCCACGACTTCCGCCATCCCTTCTTCCCTCTCTTCTTTGACTTCTTCTCAACGGTCCTGATGACGATACTTGTTGGTGCTGCCGTCATTCTCCCGTAAATGGATGAGGAGTCGGTCACGGCCGGAGGGATCACATCAGAATTCACTGTCGTTGTCTTTTCTTCGTCGGCGGATTCTGTAGAGATCCTCTTTTTTGGCGACGCCTTCTTCCCATTCCGTGGACTCATACCGCTGACAAACACTTTGTGCAGTCGCCCCCGATATCGGCTGTTCGCACTGTAACTGTAAAACGATCGCTCTGTCCTATGTCGAAATGTACTCCGACGGGTAAGATAGCATCTATGGAATTTGCCAGGGATCACAGGTAGCTCCTTGCTGGAGCCACTTCTCGAGGTTCCATTGGACTCGTCGTTGGCGGACCATTTCTCTTCACAATCGATCTTGACGGCTGCTCTCACTGATCTTACATCTGACTGAATCGAAGAACCCATGATTCCCTTCTCCACAGGTCCGATGGCTGTGTTCACTGAGTCTGACTTCTCCTTGGATGGTCTCTCTGGAAATGGACGAGGTCTGCTCTTCCGTGGCTTCAGAATCCGACTCTGAGAATTTACTGAATCATCAGCAGGGCGCACCTTCTTCTTACGAACCTTTTTATTTTCAGTGGATGAGAGCCTTCTCCTAATGAATATGGGTTTAATCTTACGACGTGCCTTTGGTGGACTGAGACGTGATCGGGAGACTGGGCCTGTAAGCACGGTAATGATTGATACAGTAAGGCTATGGACCACCTAGAAACAAAGGACTAACAGTGAATGACAATTACATTTAGACCAAAATGGGTTATGAGGTGAGGATAAAGTAGAAAAAAATGAAAAAAAAAATCGAAAGTTGAGCAAGGTGCTCCGGCACTCGCCACCGCCCAGGAATCAATGCAGATGGGCGGCCCAATAGGGTGATTAGTGAACCTGACCTGTTCTCACTATACCGACCGCCACGCCAGTTTCAAAAAAGAGGATCTGGTATTAAAACCCACGGTAGTTACACAGAGCAGTGCTGACGCAACTCCAGGGGAAGGATCTTTCGTGTTTATCAGCTCTTTTTGTGAAATGAACATTGTTTGAACTGTTCTTTCAGAAGCCCCCATTTTTATTTTTCAGAGACGGAGAGTCCATGACGCTGAGCGCTGGAATATTGACCTAACAAAGCTCAAGATTTGCCAGAAGGTTTCAAGACCTGCATCAAAACGGTCAGTCAGAAGTTATCACCACAGCAGAGAATAGAATACGTTGACATCTTCTCATAAGATCGGTAGACTCTGCGGAAGAGAAAGACCCAGCGGAAGCTTCAGACCCAGCAAGCCTATTGAGTGTGAGCGCTGTTATAAACAGTAATATGAGTTCAAAAACGAGCACCTTATCGAAGGTTCGTCGACAAAACCTTTCAAAAAGACGATCCTTGAATGGCATGAATTAGACTCCTCTTCGCTTCATCAATTAGAACCTTTACCATCTCATAAGCCTATGAGAGAACATGGTTCACTTCCCCGTTATTTAATGGGGTTATGATTCAGCGGCTTCAAAAAGACGATCCTCTGAATGGTATGAATTAGACTCCTCTTCGCTTCATCGATTAGAACCTTTCCCATCTCATAAGCCTATGGGAGAACATGGATCACTTCCCCCTTATTTAATGGGGTTTTGATTCAGCGGCTTCTTTTCTGATAGACGAAGTATACGAGTAGTATAGGTTAAGCCGATTGCCAACATCCATTCGATCTTACTACCGCTAAGCCAGAGCTATCGAAAACTGATTGTTAAGTGATAGAATTTCGTTGACCAAGCAATTTTCAGGCATAATTAAGAAGGTGAACTTAACTAAAAACGCCATGTTATAAACTGCACTCTCTTTCCCACTTTTCTATGAGCGATCTTCAAAATATTCAATACATTAAGATCAGTCGGTTAGCCCCGCTAACGCCGGGCTTTCCTCCTTTGACAGAGTTGTAGTAATCAGCTAACTTTCCCATCCTTCTTTGAAACAAAATAATATAATATTTTCCTGTACATGACGTCTGACACAAGACTAACAGGGCAGTATAAATGGTATTCAGTTAGAGTCGTTGCTTTTGCCTTTTACTGGAAGCTTTATCATTTGCTCTCGTTCTCGAAAATAAATAAATACCCATTAAAGATTCAACTGTTAGGCAACCAAAGCTTTGGGCGGTACTCACAAATGTTTCGAGTGATGATAACAGCATTATCGGGTTCTTATCATTGGACCTTTTCTTTACAGAGATATCATTAGTTGAGTATTCAAGACTACTGGCGGATATCGAACAAAGAGGACCCTTTATTGAGTCCCAAACTCTGCTGGGTAGCGGTCGTACCCTAATAGTGAGAAATGAACAGAATTTTCATCTGCTTATCGTAGTGCCACTAATAGGCCCCTATCACTGCACTCACCACTCACCTTTGTCACCCTACTCTATCATCCCCTATTATCGAATGAAACATACTGAACAGTCAAAGCTAAATCTCAGATACCGAAATATTAGGTTTGGATCTTGATCGGTAAGAGACTCTTGCTCTCTTAGGCCCCTTATCTTCTCTTATTAGCTGTCACCGGTTCCTGTAACCGAGTACCTACGATCCTACACCACTCATTAAAAGGCCGAGGTTCCACTGTTAATACGAAAAGCAGGAGTTATGGATTTATGCTCAACCATTTATTTCGCGCTAACCACGCCCCTCAAGGGCGGAATCCGGCTTACCTCCCACCATAACACCATAAGAGTCCCCATTCTGCCGCCTGCACACCCTGAGGTCCAATGAATCGCTCCAGGGACACGAGGATCAACACTCCTTTCGTTCAGAGCTTTCATGAAGAAGTCTGACCAACTCGTTGGTGGCCTTCCTGGAGTTCGTTTGATGCCC